GTGTGACTCCAAATAACAGAGTGAGAAGAAGGGTTAGGATGTGTTCTGTGGAAAAGTCTGACAGAAAACTGCCAGAGAGTAAGAGGCAATCAGGAGAATGTAGTCTCATGAAAACAAAGACATGACAAAGAAGGGAGAAATCAGTTTTGCTGAAGTCAAGCACAATGATGATTACACATGCCCTTTAGATTTCTCAACAGAATGGCCATTGGTAACTATGGCGAGAGATATTCCAGTGGAGTGATTTGGGTGGAAGTCAGATTGTGGTGACCTGAGGTGACAAACTGGACACAAGAAAGTACAGTCATCAGGTTTAGAGTAATTTCAAGGAACTGGACTGTGATCTGTAGCAGAGAGGTGGACGATAGATGGAGGAAAAACAAGAAAGATTTTTTTTTTTTGACATGGGAGGTAATAAAACATGTTTGGCTGCTGTTTAAGAGGGCTGTAGTAGAGCAGGAATATGCAAGGGAGCTCTCTGAAGGTCCTTGAATGAGAGCTGAGATGGGATCCAGAACAAATCCAGTGGAAAGGTGGGCCTTTGGGAAGGAGGGGAAGGGTGCAGGTGCATTGTTGTTGTTGGTAAGTACTGTTGAGTCAGTTCTGATGCATAGTGACCCTGTATAGGGTTTCCAAGGAGCAAATGGTGAGTATGAACCTCTGACCTTGTAGTTCAAACCTACCTTGCAGTCTAGTGCTTTATCCTACAGCACCACACCACTACTACTATTTGCATTCTTTAAACTCATGGAATTTTGGGGCGATAACTCCAATTAGTCCAGAAGTCTGTAAGCAACTTCATAAAAATCAGGTTGTATTCTACTTGGAGTCACTAGATCCTAGCACTAACCTTGTCGTCTAGTAACTTTTTGATGTACACATGTAAGAGAGAATATATGTTTAGAAATACAAAATTATATCTGCAATAAAACCATGTTGTTGTTAGGTGTTGTTGAATTGGTATAGAGTTTCTAAGACTGTTAATCTTTATGGGAACAGAAAGCTTCATCTTTCTTCTATGGAGCAGCTGGGGTTTGAACTGCTGAACTTGTGGTCAGTAGTCCAGTACTTATCCTACAATACCACTAGAATTCCTGGTGACAATTAATTATTGCATGTTATTGTGCAAATTGATTTGCACCAGTTTTTAGGTAGACCAAATTATTTTAAAATAGAGGAGAGAGTAAATTATATTCTAGAAACCACTAAAGAGATCAGGAAATAAAAAATCCACTGTAGTATCTTGAGTTTTTTAGTGAGAAGTATTTTCTAGTAAAAAATGAAAAACTTCAAGCAAAAAAATATAGATACATGTGATGTTGTTGTTGTTAGGTGTCATCAAGTTGGTACCAACTTATAGCAACTTTCTGTACAACAGAATGAAACATTGCCTGGTTCTGTGCTAACTTCAGGGTCTTTGCTATTCTTGAACCCACTGCAGCCACCACTGTGCCAATCCATTTCATTGTCAATCTTCCGCTTATTTGCTGACCCTCCATTTTACCAAGCGTGATGTCCTTCTCCAGGGACCGGACCTCCAGATATTAAGTTCAAAGTATAAGTAATGAAGTCCAGCCATCCTGGTTTCCAAGGATGTACTTCCAATACAGATCGGTTTGTTTTTTGATACTCAATGGTAATTTTAACATTCTCCTCCCACACCATAACTCAAATGCATCAATTCTTCTAGTCTTTATTCATTGTACAACTTTCACATGCATATGAGGTGACTGAAAATATCGTGTTTGGGGTCAGGTCCACTTTAGTCGTCCAATGGACATCTTTGCTCTTGAATACTTTAAAAATGTCTTGTGCAGATTTCCTTAATGCAATATGTTGTTTGTTTCTTGACTGCTGTTTCCATGAGTGTTGATAGCGGATCCAAGCAAAATGAAGCCTTTGATAATGTCAATCTTTTCTCCATTTATCCTGATGCCATTTACTGGTCCAGTGGTGAGGATTTTTGTTTTCTTTACACTGAGGTGTAACACATACTGAAAGGTATAGTGTTTGATCTTCATCAGTAAGTATTTTAACTCCCCCTCACTTGGATTAAGCAAGGCTGTACAAACCGCACATCACAGATTGTTAATGAGTCTTCCTTTGATCCTGATGCCATGCTCCTCTCGAATTATTTGCTTAGCATACAGATTGAATAAATATGGTGAAAGAATACAACCCTGGCACGTACTTTTCCTAATTTTAAACCACTGAGTGTTCCCTAATTCAGTTTGAACAACTACCTCTTGGTCTATGTACAGGTTCCTCATGAGCACAATTTAGTGTTCTGGTATACTCATTCTCCCAATGTTGTCCATAGCTTGCCATGATCCTCACAATCAAAAACCTTTGTATAGTCAGTAAACCACAGGTAAACATCTTTCTGGTATTCTCTGTTTTCAGCCAAGGTCCACCTGACATCAGCAATTGAGGACATCCATCATTTCATGTCCTCATCTGAATCTGGCTTGAACCTCTGGCAATTCTTTGTCAATGTTTTGCTGCAGCCAGTTTTGAAATATCTATAGCAAGGAGCTCTGGTAGTGTAGTGATTACGAATCGGGCTGCGAGCCTCAGGGTCAGCAGTTCGAAACTACCAGCTGTTCCGTGGGAGAAAGATGAGGCGTTCTGCTCCTGTAAAGATTTACAGCCTCGGAGACCCTGTACAGGGTTGCTATGAGTTGGAACTGACTCCACGGCACATAACAACAACAACAACAACAACATAGCAATATTTTACTTGCATACAATAGTAATGATATCATCTAATGATTTCCACATTCCATTGGGTCACCTCTCTTTGGAATGGGCACAAACATGGATCTCTTCCAATCAGTTGGCCAGGTTCCAAATTTCTTGGCAGAGATGAGTGAGTACTTGTAGTGCTGCCTCAGTTTGTTGAAAGATTTCAATTTGCATCCCATCAATTCCCAGAGCCTTTTCTTTGACAATGCCTTCAGTGCACCTTGAACTTCTTCCTTTGGGATCATTGGCACTTGATCATTTGCTACCTCTTGAAATGGTTGAACATTGACTATTTCTTTTTGGTACAGTGACTCTACATATTCCTTTAATCATTTTTGATGCTTTCTGCATCGTTTAGTATTTTGCTCAAAGAATCCTTCAATATTTTAAATTAAGGCTTGGATTTTTTCCTTCAGTTTCCTCAGCTTTAGAAATGCTAGGCATGTTCTTCTCTTTGGTTTTCTAACCCCAGGTCTTTGCACATTGAGAAGACTTTATCTCCTCAAGCTGCCTTTTGAAATTTTCTATTCACCTCTTTCACCTCCTCTTTTCTTCTAAGTGCTTTTAGCATCTCTAAACCAGTGAGCAAGACTCTGTGTGGAGTCCTCTGATATCCATTTTGGTCTTTTCCTTCTTTTTTGTCTTCTAAATAATCTTTTGCTTTCTTCCTATATGATGTTCCTGATATCATCCCACAACTCTTCTGGTCTTTGGTCATTAATTTCTAATTCATCAAATCTGTTCTTGACAGGATCTCTAAATTCAGGTGGGATATGTTTAAGGACATATTTTGGCTCTTGTGGACTTGTTTTAATTTTCTTCAGCTTCAGCTTGAACTTGCATAAGAGCAATTGATGGTCTGTTTCACAGTCTGCCCAGTATTGTTCTGGCTGTTGATATGAATCTTTTCCATTTTCTCTTTCCACAGATGTAATCAATTTGATTTTTGTGTGTTGCATCTGGTGAGGTCCATGTGTATAGTGATTTTTTATTTTGTTTAAAAAGGTATTTGCCATGAAAAAGTCATTGGTTTCACAAAATTCTATCATGGGATTTCTAGCATCACCAAAGCCATGTTTTCCAATGATTGATCGTTTTTCTTTGTTCCCAATCTTTGGATTCCAATCACCAGTAATTAGCAATACATCTGTATTGCATGTTTGATAAATTTCAGACTGAAGAAGTTGGTAGAATTCTTCAATTTCATCATCACTGGCTTTAGTGGCTGGTGTGTAAAACTGAATAATAGTTGTACTTACTGGTCTTCCTTGTAGGTGTATGGATATTATACTATCACAGACAGTGCTGTATTTTAAGATAAATCTTGAAATGTTCTTTTTGATGATGAATGTGATGCCATTCTTCTTTAATTTGTAATTCTCGGCATAATAAACCATGGGATTGTCAGATTCAAAATGGTCAATATTCAAAATGGTCTATTTCAGTTCACTAATGCCTAGGATATTGATGTTTATGTGTTCCAATTCATTTTTGACACCTCTCACTTTTCCTAGACTCATACTGCGCACATTCCATGTTCTGCTTATTAATGGATATTTACAGCGATTTCTCCTCATTTTAAGGTATGATACATGTGCTAGAATCATATAAATGATTTATTATAGCTGCTAAAATGGTGTGTATAAGGATTCTGCAATTTTGGGAATACGAATGTTAAGAAATTGTTTAGATTCTTTTTGAAGACAACAGTGATATATCTCCGTGGGTCTTTTATATCCTAAATACTAATTCTCATACAGAACATAATGATCATGTTTTTAAAAAATGTGTGTTTTCTGTTCACAATTTGGTGTGTTTTTTCTTGAAGGAATACAGACATCTTTGATGGTGGTGGTTATGTGCCATTGAGTCAGTTCCAACTCATAGTGACCGTGTACAGGATTTCTAAGGCTGTAAATCTTTATGGGAGCAGAAAGCCTTATCTTTCTCCCATGAAACATCTTTAGGAATCACTAAATTGTCTGTAACATCCAAACATATTAAGTCAGAAAATCATTTCTAATATGGGGATTATTTAGGTAGCTTTCCTTTGTTAAACTGCAAACTTTTTACCTCATTATCTTTCCTAAATGTCTCTCTATAGAGGAAATTCAGGAGCAGGAATGAGAAAACTCAATGGTAAATCTCTACTACTAAGTTAAGAAGTTAGTAATTCTGATTAAACAGTCACAAGAAAGAGGCCAAACTGATGACTAAAATGAAGAATGCAGTTAATGTGTGAGAATTATCTATCACTTTCCTGATACTCTTTTCAGTCAGTGAAGACTGAAGAAATAGTCAACAAATTCGGTACTGACCTGAGTATGGAAAGATTTAAACTCTTTTTCTTTCTCAACCTCTCTCTAATAGACATATACACCAGAGAAATATATACATAAAATTAGGTCATCTGATTAACAATGCTAATGATTCTTACCATTTGCTATGTAACCTGGTACGTACATAGCATGACTCCCTGGAACAGAGTAGACTCGGTTGCTTATGCTGGGAGATTGATAGACATGCACTTTCAAGCTGTATCTACCATTTACAGCAAAGGAGAAAAAATACCTCGAGTAAATTCCATCATTTTTTATAATATCAGCACCTGTATATAGAAAAAAATCAGTTAACATTTGTCATTGTGTTTGATTACTAGTATGTAATTAAGCCATTGAAAACAAGAATTTCTCCCTTATTCTTCCCATTTTAGCATATACCATAACTGTCAAATTTCTTTTGATATTATCATGTGATTTAAAGTCCAATGACTACATAATTTCTTTCTGTGATTCCCTAACTTCTGAGAAATAATTTTTCTTAAAGTGAATAAGTTGTACCTGTTTCAGTATGAAGGCAACTTTTAATTATCACCTTTTAAGCTCTTAGTACTATTATTGAAATTGATATTTACTAGTTTCTCAGAGAAACTAATCACATTCTTAAACTTGTTTATGATCACACACCCTTTTGGAATGAAAGTGATTCTATACCCAGGAAATACTCATACTCATATATGTGCATGTAACTATTCTTATAAATTTTAAGGAGTTTATAAACTCCCTGAAACCAACTGATTAATAACTGTCCTGGAAAAAAAAATAAGTTTGGTAGTTGTTAAATCATGTGTCATTATTTAATGTTACTATTAGAGGGAACATAGAATTGTTGTTCTAGAATTTAAAGGGTGTGCTGATTTGGTGTTTCCCAGGCTTTGGTTCCATCCACTGTGTCTTGGGAGTCTTGGTGTGGCGCTGTGGGATAATGCACCAGACTGCAAAGCCATTTGAACTACAAGGTCAGCAGTTCAAACTCACCAGATGCTCTTTGGAAACCCTATACAAGGTCGCTATGGGTCAGAATCGACTCTACGGCACTCAACAACAACAACTGTGCCTTGACTAGTGCTAAACTTCCTTCCTTTTGTATTTATCCTTAGAGAGAAGTTCAACGTCAAGTAAATTCCATGACTGAATCCAAGGCAGCATGGGGAGGTCCAGCCTCACTCAAATGCAGATCAGATTCATAATTCATAGTGCAAGTGGTCACATTGAGCAAGTAGCTTGTCCTGTCCTAGAGGTCAAATCAATGCTCACACTATACACCAAACCCTAAACCCTAGCATTGTATAATAGCTAAAGTGCTCTAGAATCCTTATTTTCCCACTGCAGCACAGTGATCCTCAACACAAAAGTATGTTTAATTAAAATAAAAAACTGCTAAGCATGTTTTGTTGTATTATTAATTGTCTACTGAAAATAATCAAATGTTGACTTTTAGTGATTAACATGAAGGTCTAACTTTGTTGAGAAATAACAAAGAAAAAATTCAAAATAATGAAAGATCTCCATACCACAAGCACTTACTGTTACCTCATTTAATCATCGAGGCAGCAAGAACTAGAAAAGTACATTAGCTTTCAAGTCAGGGATTTGATTAAGCTATGAAACTTAATCTCTCTGAGCTTCAGTTTTCTCATTTTTAATATGGGGATAATAACTTATCACATTGTTGTTGTTGTTAAGTGCCATTGAGTCGGTTCCAACCCATAGTGACTCTGTATAGGGATTCTGAGGAGCAGCTGGTGAGCTTGAACCACCGACCTTGCAGTTCAAATAGCTTTGCAGTCTGGCGCATTAACCCACAGTGCCACACCAGGACTCCAACTTACCACATAGGGTTGTTGTAATCACAACTTGAGACCATGCATGAGAAAGTACATTTAAAAATTGTGGAGTATTTAACCAGAATAAATTTTAATTTTGTTTATTTATTTATTTATTTAGCAGATTAAATAGTGCTTCCATTATGAAAGTATGTATTAGACAGTTATGCATATGTGTTTAAGTATTTTTAAAAAATAAATGTATACTTTGATGACTAAGGAATAATTTTCATTATATCTTTCACTAGAGTTTAAATTTAGATGGCAAATAAATGAGATGGTTCCAGGGGTTAAATATAAAAGCACTTTGAGTTGACTCAGGTGACTTTACTAAAACTGCCATCATCTGTTCTCCAGGCCAGCCCACAGACTGAGGCAAGAAAGGAAAAACATTCAGTAAAGTGCACTTTTGGACTATATACAAAAAAAATAAGAGGGACAGCCATGGATAAGCCGTCAGAACATGAGAAGTTCATTTGGATCCAGTCCATTAGGCTAAAAAGATTTCTCTGGCATCCCTTTGAGGTGGACTTGAATTAGATATCCTTTGAATAAACTTTGAAGCAACAGGGCAGAGAGTGTGATTTTTTTTTTTTTAGCAGATCAAATACTTGTGGCTGCTAACATAGATTTTTATGGTCTATTGTTATTATGAGAATTTAGTGTAGGAAAAGAACAGAATTTAAATTATGAACCAATGAAAATCAAAATAAATTCGTCAGAAAGTGTCTAAGTGTTTAACCTGTTTCTGTGCTGTCCTGAATATATAAAGATGAGACTCTGGACTCCGTATCTGCAGAACTAGAGCTTTGAAGTAGGAGTTTGTTTTGTTTGTTTTCCCAGTGGTAAAGGAATTTCTATCCTGATTTCACTAGACTCTCTAACGAGGCCTTATGACAAAATCATACAACCAGAGGGCACTGCATGATGCGAGAGATGGGACTGCGTCGTCTCATCAACCCAGCTACTTAGCCAAAGGATAATTTCAGGTCATAACATGGACTATAAAGTTTAATGTCCATGCTGTTGTTAAGTGCCATCGAGTCGGTTCCAACCCACAGCGACCCTGAATATGGTTTCCAAGGCTATAAATCTTTACAGGAGCAGAAAGCTTCATCTTTCTCCTGCAAAGCAGCTGGTAGTTTCGAACTGCTGACTGTGCGGTTCACAGTCCAATTCATAACCACTACACTACCAGAGATCCTTTCAATGTCCATAGGTCCAGATAAAATGGCTCGACTGTCATTGTAGCTCTCTTCTGGATGTTTCATTTGCTATTTTAACTGTCCAACCTGATTATATCAGTAAGCAGTAGAGTTGGTGAATTTAGAGGGATATCAAGATATTATGAGGATATGTAAGTCTAAGCCGATTCCTGTGTGATCTCACTAAGTGAGAGTGTCCAATGCCACAATGTCCTGATGGCCAAGTGGAAGCTAAGGCGAGGTGTCAAGACACTTCCTGTCATCCTCATGCTATTATTTCACAGTCACACTCTTAGGAGCTTATTCTTCATATTGCGAAATGATAACATGGCATCTTAGTAACATGAAAAACAACATGACATTCCTTGTTACCTGCTCCATCATCAAAAAGCTTCAGTGTAACAGCATCTCCAGTCTCTGGTTCAATTATAGCAGTTACAGTGGCATTAACTATGGGATAAAACCCCTTTCTAACGTTTGCATAAATCATCACTGGATGGGGAAAATGAGTGCTGTCTTTTTCCACATAGGCTTCCACTGTGGCAGGGGCCACAGCTGAGCTGGAGGCCCGAGAGGTCACAATCAATTTCAAGACTTGAAGAGATTGGTGAGTATTGTTCAGTGTGTAACTCCAGTGCCCAGGCTGCAAAACAAGTGTGAAGAAATAACATCAACCTTAAAATTTGAAGTATAAATCTAACCCTCTACTGTTTTTTGTTCTTGTTTTGTTGGTTTTGCACTCTTTGATACTAAAAGGATGTCAAGAAAAATAATATTGGTTTAAACAACAACTAAATTCAGTATAGCTGTGGTTTTCACAACTCTTTAGGGAAATGTACCCAGGATTTATTTGAGATAGGGAGGCAGATCGTTATTTTCATTTTTAGTAGATAATGAAAATAGTGCCCAGTTTCAAAGTACTATGCAAATATTAATCCAGACTCCTTGATACAGAAAGAGGATCAATGCTTTTTTCCCTTTTCTATAACTGAGAAAATGACAACAAATTAAATGAACCATTATTATTCACAAGGACATCCTAAATAAAAGGCAGACCTCTAACCTGTCCTTCATATCAAGCAACAGAATAACAATAAAATCACATATATATTATTAGGAACCAAAAAAAGGACACTGTTTTTAATAGGAGAAAAAGAGAAAGGAACCCCCCCACCCCCACAATGAGATGGATTGGCACCGTGGCAGCAGCGATGAATCCAGGCGTAGCAACTGTTGTGAAGTTGGCCCAAGACTGGGCAGTGTTTTGTTCTGTTGTGCATAGAGTCGCTATGGGTTGGTATCAGCTCGATAGCACCTAACAACAACAACAGAGTTCTACACTGTGCATGTTATTTGTATAAATATTGCTAAACACCACTCTTTTGCCTTAGTTAAACTGTTTAGAGAAATATGAAAGGAGCCCTGGTGGGTTAAGTTTCGGGATGCTAACTTATAAAGGTTGGTGATTCAAACCCTCTAGTCATTCTGCTACAGACATAAGAAGCTATCTGTTCCTGTAAAGATGTAACAGTTGTACTCTGTTTCAAAGGGTCACTGTGAATCAATCAATTCCATGGCAGTGTGCTTTGGTGATTTAAGAAAACAGTGAAATCTGTAATGTAGAATTTTTTTTTTCTTGATTAAGTTATACATATTGTTCTTGTTGTTAGTTAGGTGTTTTGTTAAGAGTCAGCTACAACTCATAGTGACCCTATGTACAACAGAACGAAGCTGACTGGTCCTGCACCAGCCTCAGAATCATTGCTGTATTGGAGCCCATGTTACAGTCTCTGGGTCATCTCTTTTTCACTGACTTTCACTCTACCAAACATGATACACTTCTCCAGGGACTGATCCTTCTAACAACACGTCCAAAGTATAAGAAAAAGTCTCACCATCCTCACTTCTGAGCACTATTCTAGCTGCACTTAGCTCAAGACAGATATGTTCCTTCTTCTGCCAGTACATGAATGTTTAATATTCTTCACCAACATCATTATTCAAAGACACCAATTCTTCTTCTGTCTTCCTTATTCATCGTCCAACTTTCACACATATGTGAGGCAACTGAAAATACTATGGCTTGGGTCAGGCATACCTTAGTCCTCAAAATGACATGTTTGTTTTTGAGCCCTTTAAAGAGGTTTTGTGCAGCAGATTTTTCCAATGCAACGTGTTATTTGATTTCCACTGCTGTTGCCTTCATGGGAGTAGACTGTAGATTCAAGTTAAATGAAATCCATGACAACTTCAAACTTTTCTCTGTTTCTCATGATGTTGCTTTTTAGTCCAGGTGTGAGGATTTTTGTTTTCTTTATATTGAAAACTAATTAAGTCTTAGATCTTAATCAGTGAGTGCTTCAAATAAGGTTGTGTTATCTGCATATCACAAATTGTTAATAGGCTATATATATATATATATATTTCTTTTATTATTATTATTATTATTATTAAACCCAGAGAGCAACAAGATGAATGTAACAGAGCAAAAGGAAGAACCAAGAAAAGCAATGGATTAAGGTGTGACTCATCGTGGACAATTGTAGTGCTATCACATTCTATCCAACCTCTTTTTCTTCTTTATTGGGTTCCTCTTTATAATTTTTCAGTGAAGTAACAACTCAAGAATCAAGGTCATCTGCCCATTACTTTTTAATAATAAAAATAATATTAGTAACAGACATGACAGGAACATCTACGTCTGAATCTTCTCCTCTGGAGTAGTAAGTGTTTTGATGTAGGGCACCTAATTTAGACTAAGGGGGCAGGCCCAGGGAGCAACAATTAGGTAAAGTGTTTCTTGCTCTTGTATTGTTGCTATTGTCAAGTGCCATTGAGTTGGTTCTGACTCATAGGGTTTCTGAGGAGCTGCTGGTGGGTTGGAACCGCTGACCTTTTGGTTAGCAGTCCAGTGCTTATCCTCCTGAGCCACACCAGGATTCCTATCCTTGTATACAGGTGTGAAAAGGTCATGATGAGTTTGAAGAAAAGTTCAATAGGATATTTTGGTAATGTTGTTGAGTACCATGGAGTTAGTTCCAACTCATAGTGACCCTGTGTAGGGTTTCCAAGACTGTAAATCTTTGTGGGAGCAGAAAGCCGCATCTTTTTCCCACAGAGTGATTGATGGGCTGAACCACTAACCTTGTGGTTTGTAGTCCAGTGCTTATCCTACAGAGCTATATACTTCCATTTTAGTAACAGAAACTCTGTGTCCTGTAGCCCCTAACATATGAATCAGAGATCGACACTGGCAAAGTCAGGAAAACTTATCACAGAGAAATTTGAGCTCAGCCCTTACATCAAGGTTGAAACCCATTTAAATTCCAAAAATAAGTAGGATGTTATGGAAAAGAGTTAAGAGATAGCTTATGCAAAAGCCAGAACATGAAGAGCATCATATGTAATAGTAACCAGTTATATTTCATTCTGAAGCTATCAAAGGGTTTTGATCCTAGTTAGACTTTAGAAGGCCCACTTTGACAGAAATGAAGAATGGATGAGAGAGATGTCAATCTGGCTTTCAACAGTGATGTGGGGAGGGGATTCAGGAAGTGGATGAGTGACTAAATTCAGGCAGTGCATGAATGGATCTGGTCAGTTCTGTTTAGAAATGTTAGTCATGCCCCTTTACCTTTAGGTTTCAAGTCCCGTCCCTGCTTTGTTTATTGGCATACAAATTCCTTGCTGATATGGCTCTTGTTTACTTTCTATCCTCATTACCACTCACTCCTTCCTTGCCACAAACCCCACCTTACATGCTACTCTGTGGTTTATTCAATACTGCACTATTTGAAATTCCGTACACAGTCATGTTCTTTATCTCTGGGCCTTTTCATGTGCTATTTCCTTTTCCCAGAGCTTCAGACGTATCTTGTTGTTATTAAGTGCTGTCTAGTCCAATCCAACTCATAGCAACCCTGTAGTTTCCCACCATCAGCTAGTGAGTTAAGCCATAAACCTTGTATCAGCAATCCTGTGCCTATCCTACAAGACCACACCAGGACTCTACTCGTTGTTGTTGTTAAGTGCCATTAAGTTAGTTCCGACTCATAGTGACTCTGAGTACAGTTTCCGGGGTGCAGCTGGTGAATTTGAACTGCCAACCTTGCAGTTCAAACTGACCTTTTGTCCCGTGCATTACCCTACACCAGGACTCCAAGAGATAGGGACCAAAGAGTGGTGGTGGTTGTGTGCCACTGAGTCAGATCCAACTCATAGCGACCCTGCATAGGGTTTCCGAGGCTCTAAATCTCGACTAGAGAAGAAAGCCTCATATTTCTACAGAGAAGCAACTGGTAGATTGGAACTACTGACGTGCAGTTAGCAGTCCAATGTGTCACCAGTATGCTACCAGGGCCTGTTGTTGTTAAGTGTCATAGAGTCTGGCATATATACTAATTTCACCTGTCTAGGGGAGAAGGATTTGACATTTATTGTTTAAAGTTTTAAACACAACCCCCATTAGTTCTTCATTTTTAACATTCACAAATGTACTCATAAAGGTTCCAAGGTAATATTTTTTATATATCCAATGTGATTTCCTTTACACAGTGCATTTAATTATGCAGTTCAATGGAAAATCATATACTTGACCAAATCCTGTCATTATGAGCAAGGACACAGCACCTACCTTAGCAGTTCCTGGTATGGAAAGGCGAGCAGTCTTCAAAGCTAGATTGCTGGTAAAATTATTTGTGCTGTATTTTCTTCCATTAGGATCAAATAATACAATCTCAGGGGGACCACTGGTCTGCCATGTGACTAAAAAGACAGTGTCATTGCCCACACTTTTATCTAGAGAAACAGTGTTTTTTAAGTGATGATGAGGTTTCACAATTTCACTAGCACTTTCAAGCTGTTAAAGAAAATATACATGTGTGAGTTTCTAGTATATGCATCATAGTTCCATCTTTGTCTTCTTTAGTTTTATAACAAAACGAATTAGTAAAATTAAAAATTATTTAGTCATTCATAATAAGCTTTATATGTGTATGTGTGTGTATATATGTGTAAGGACAGCACAGTGATTTACTTCAGATAGCTCTTCTATCCATAGTCTTTGTTTGTAAGCCCCAACCAAAAACTTTTTTTCCTAATGGGTCTGGGTAGGGAAAGGTTGGAAAGATACTGATGGGGTTATATGATTCAGTTGTCATTGCTAAAAGGATAAATTGTGATTATAAAAACTTGGATACAATCAAAGAGGAGCCAGGAGTGGAGTGCATCCTTTGGACCCCAAGAGGTCCCTATGTACTGAGCCAAGAGGTAGAGGAGTGGTAGAGAAACAGCAACAGCAGAACCGAGAGACAGAGCACCAGAGAGAGTAGTGGGCTTCCTGGGCCACAGATGGTAAAACTGAACGACTTTGGGCAGTAGGCTCACTTGCTGAAGGTGGTGTGTCTAGGCACTTAGCTGGAGGAGATAGGTTTGCCAACTCATGTAGCTAAACCCAATGTGGTCAGGCTGAAGCTTATAACAGAACAGAGTGCTCATTGGGCATATATCAGCAGTGCTGAACGAGTTTGGTAACATTGCCTGAGCAGGGTAGAGGCTAAGATACGCCTTTATGCTGGCATAGCTGGGAGGACATGGTCCTGACTGAATAATCATTTATATTAAAATATTCTACTTTTCAATATTTGTAATTATTCCATATTATTAAGGTTGAAATCATAGGTGAGAACTATTATTGAGAATCATCAGTAGAAGAATCCATTGTAATCTAATCTTTAGTACACACTACATCTATCATTCACATTTTCTTCTAATGATGGAACTGTGGTTATTGCCTTTGCTATGTAAATATAATCTTTATATTAAATATTTTCTGACAATAATTTACTGACTTCATTATTCACATCAAGTCATTAACTTGGAAGGTTCATTTACCATCTGTGAGGAGGCCACAGATGAAATACTGTCCAAAACATTATTCAGTTATGATCTTCAAATTACTCATAGGAAACAAAAATTGTCACTTTTAAAAATGGCTTGATTAGAGAAAGTTTCTGTGAGCAAAACAGATTGTGAGAGTTGAAGAGATAATTTAAAAGGTTTAGAATTTAATCAAACAGTACTTCTTATACAAAAGAGGAGTTTCAAAGATGTTAAAATAAATAAAATAAAATGGTTTCAGATCAATCAATCGTTATGATGGAACTGAAACTAAATACATAGCTTCTTATCATTCTTTTGGGCTTTACTCTACAGTCCCACCCCAATGTGAGTATAAAGGAAGAAGCAAGCTCTGCTCATAGACCCTGAAAAACTGAATTGGAAATTACAGACCATGCCTGCTGGGGCTAAGGACTACCATACCAGCTGCCCTCCCAGCCAAGACTCATGGTCTGACCCCATGTGTGTCAGAGGAGAACTGTGTCCCATAGGATTTCAGGGGCTGATTTCTCAGAAGTAGATAGTCAGGTCTCTCTTCTGGGGCCCCTCTGGGTGAACTCAGACTTCCAGCCTTTGATTAGCAGCCAAGAACATTAATTATTTGCACCATGCTGGGACTCCTGACAAGTACAGACATTATGTGAGCATGAAGCCTGGTTCTGGTCATAAGAAGTTCATTAAAAGCTTTCCACACACTGACTGTTACATATTCAAATGAGATTAATGAAATGGTTACTTCCCTTTCTTTCCTGGAGCCACTCCTAGCCCATATGTAGTTATAACACTGAGGAAATTCTGACCTGAACACGTTGCTGAAAAATGTCTCCAGTTCCAGAGGAAATTCTACTGAAAGCATCAATCATGCTATTGGAGTTTGATTTATCTGGAACAAAGAACTTTAAACCTCCTGGAATACATGATTAGGATATTAACTGATCAATGTAAAGTATATAAAATAAAACAAAACAAAAATAAATTTTTAGGCCTTTCCAGTGACGTTTATTAACGATGTTAGTTTTAGGGAAGTAGGGATTGTGCTTAATCAGCATTTCATGGCACCCTGTAAGTGGTAAGAAACTGAAGTGGGGTGCTTTTGTCTGTTCCATTCATGGCATTTATGTCAGGGCCAAAAACTCTTCCTGGTTGTTGTTGTTAAGTGCCGTTGAGTCGATTCTGACTCATAGTGATCCTGTATAGGATTTCCAAGGAGTGGCTAGTGAGTTTGAACCGCCAACCTTATGGTTCAAACAGACCTTGTGGTTCAGTGCTCTATCTCAGTGCCACAGGGCTCCTGCCTGTTAAATAAGTGGTAAGATATCAAATATTTATTTAGTCTTGTAATTTAAGGTAAAATTTCTAGACTATCTAGCTAGGTTAATTTCTATTGTTTTCAGAAATAATTCAATAAAGGTCAATGTTCAATTTCTAAATTAGCAGACTCATTTTTATTGGATATAAATAAAATTATAAGTGCCTCATTTTGTATAAAAAAGAAAAGGTTTTTTATAATATTGTTCTTAAATATAAGTTAGTTTACTTAATTTCAAACGTATTTTTGAAATTTTCATAATTATACTTTCTTAGACAGGTTTTGGAGTCCCGATTTGGTGCTGTAGGATACACACTAAACTAACAATCACAAGATTGGCGGTTCAAATATTCCAGTTACTCCTCAGAAACCCTTTACAGGATCGCTTTGAATCAGAACTGACTTGCTTGCACTTAACCACAGCAGGTTGGTTTAGTGAAAAATTACAAAAAAGCATGTATATATATAATTGACACTTTCTAGAGGAAAAGTGAAGTCCTAGCATGATACTATAGGTTAAGCATTGGACTGCCACTCATAAAGTCAGTGGTTCAAATCCACCAGATGCTCTTTGGAAACCTAATACAGGGTGGACATGAGTTGAAACCAACTCAATGACACTTAACAACAGATTAAAAGTTCAAAAACACAACATTTTATATATTTTTTGTTTTTATTTTAGAAAGCTTCTGGTTTTCAATTAAATACTTATGTTTGTACTTTGCAACTTCAAGTCAAAAGGAAATGCTCTGAAAAATAAGATTTTGTAGAAATTTATTTACCTGTAAGATGTGATAACTCCTCTAGGTTTTCAGCCACAGATGAACCCAGGGCAATGGAATGAATGGTTGAGCCACTGCTGAGCACGGTGGGTACGCAATTGTTGATATATTCATCATCTCCACTTGTTATTAATACCATCACAGAGCCATATGCTTTTCCATTCCGTTTTTCAACCACCTGAATACAGGGTATCAGTCATTTGAGAGTACATGTAATTCAAATGGTATTACTGAGCAGAAGAACTCACTCTCATTCCAAACTCCCCACTAGAAATGACTCGTACAAGTTCTCCGTAGCCCCTGTACCTCACATCCATCTCCACTCACTCCATCATAGCACTGTCAGCCTACATGCCTTTGATGGTTTCTGTGTGGGCAGAGTATCTTCTCATCATAATCATCATGGTATGCTTTTAGGTCAGAAGAATGTCCACCACAGAGGATATTGGATATATTATTCTGTGAGGTTCTTGCATCTCAGGACCAGGAATCTCTTACATAGTTCATAAAGGCCTAGAATTACTTTGGCAATTTCTAGAACAATTACTCAACATTAGAATAAGAGGATGATCTTAAAATATTTCTAATGGCCAGGCCGTATCCAAAATCAATTAAATTAGAGTCTCTGGAGTAAGATCCAAGCATTATTGCTCTTCAATCCTCAAGTGATTTCAGGGGACAAAATTGAGAAACACTTGCCTATAGCTGATATGTCTTGCTTGCTATCAGATGTGTGACACATGGCTGTATCCCATATGCTGAATCCAATGCTGTGTTGATTGTGATGAATTCTTTCCCTACCTCATTCCTAAAACATGCCACTGGCTTTACTTGACTCTAATTTTCTTGAAGCCTATTATGCAAGTATGACAACAGACAGGAGCCAGGCATGAGGCTTTTGAATGGAAAACTCAAGAGTAATGATGAACATAACTGGAATAGTATCAGAATGGACAGAATCAGAAACTGCCCACAGGATGTGAAGATCCTCTAGTTGGGAACACTGCATTCATTTATTTACTCATTTCTTCAGCAAGTATTTATTAAGCAATTACATATTACATGCCAAGTACTTTGCTAGGCACACTGTAGTGAACAAGACATAGTTCCTGCCTTTAAAGTTAATCTATTACTCGTCTATAGTTGAGGATGCTATGACCACATTGTGACAGATTGCCCCCAATCAGAAGCAGTCTCAGATATAAAATGAGGGAAAGGAGAGTGGAGGTGATATAAGGGTAGAAAAGCTTGACTGTACCTCAAATCCTTTCTTAAGCCCTGAACAGACACTGGTTTCTGCTTCAGCGGACACAGTGGAAGGCAAAAACGAAACCAGCAACTTTCGGTCATCATCACTGTTGATTTGGTGTAGCTGGGTCCTGATCTCTCCTTGGCTATCAAAACTGACAATGCCCACAAAAGTATGAATTTCAACAATCTGCATCAAGTAAAATTCTGCTGCTTGCTGCAGTTGAAGGAGTCTGTCAGCCTATGTGCCAAAAAGGAGAAAAAAAGAAAAGTAACATTTCGTTGGTAGTCAAAAATGACTAAGTAACTCAATTAACAAATATCTCTGCTAATTTCTAAAGATGTTGCAATTTAAGAGTTGAAAAGAGTCACATAAACCTAGGAATATTTTTCAATGTATTTTCAATATAAACTCAAATTTTGTATTTTTGTGGGAGTGGGGAATGAGGATTTAGAATTTGCTCCCAACAAGCTATTCATAATTTACCACTCTCTAAGAATATATGCGATCCTGGGTGGCACTGTGGGTTAATGCGCCAGACTGCAAAAAGCCATTTGAACTGCAAGGTCGCCGTTTCAAGCTCACCAGCTGCTCCTTGGAAACCCTATACAGGAATCGACTCGACTGCACTTAACAACAACAACAACAAGAATAGATGTGAAGGAGTCCTGGTAGCATAGTGGATAATGAACTGGGTTGCTAACAGCCAGGTCAGCAGTTCAAATCTACCAGCTGCTCCATGAAGAAAGATGAAGCTTTCTGCTTCTATAAAAAATTTGCAGTCTTGGAAACTCTATGTAGGGTCATTATGAGTTGGAACCAACTTCATGGCCCATAACCACCACCATCACCAAGAATATATGCAAGTATCTTCACCCAAATTAAAAGACCCAATACAACCAATAAAAACTAGGTTTGTAATTGCTTATTTTAAAATTCAGTCTCGATTGTTGTTCTTAAATGCCCTCAAGTCAGTTCCAACTCATAGTAACCCTGTATAGGGTTTCTAAGGAGTGGCTGGTGAATTTGAACTGCCAACCTTGTGGTTCAAACTGACCTTGCAGTTCAGTGCTTTATCCTACAACGCTACACCAGAACTCTGCTTCTTTTACAGTTTTGTATGGATGTTGTTGTTATGTGCCATGGAGTCGGTTCCGACTCATATCGACCCTGTACAGGGTTTCTGAGGTTGTAAATCTTTACGGGAGCAGAAAGCCTCATCTTTCTCCCGCGGAACAGCTGGTAGTTAGGAGTACACATTCCAAAGAGACCTTCTGGTAGAGAGGAAGAGCAAGCAGAGACTCAGTATCTATCCTGGCACTCACTGCCTCTTATTATCATGGTCACCATTGGCTGAGTAATTCATCTGTAAAATGGAGATAAGATCTTTCTTACCTATAATAAATTTCTATAAAGATTAACTGAAATATCTATATAAAACTACACTTACACAATCAAGGACTAGCCTAGTATTTGTTGTTGTTAAGTGTCTTTGAGTCAGTTCCAACTCACAGCGACCTTGTAGAGTTTCTCAGGCTTTTTTTTTTTTAAATCTTTTAGGGAGCAGAAAGCCTTATCTTTCTCCAACAGAGCAGCTGGTAGGCTCGAACCACAGACTAAGTGTTGTTGTTGTTAAGTGCTATTGAGTCGGTACTAGCTCATAGCAACCCTGTGCACAACAGAATGAAACACTGCCCAGTTTTGTGCCAACATCACAATCATTTCAGCCGATTGTTGTTGCCAACGTGCCAATCCATCTCATTGTGGCCTTCCTCTTTTTCTCGAACCCTTCGCTTTATCAAGCATGACATCCTTCTCCAGAGACTGGTTCCTCCTGGTAATATGTCAGAAGTATGAAACACAAAGTCTGACCATCCAGGTTTCCAAAGAGCACTCTGGCTGTATTTCTTCCAACACAGATTCGTTTGTTCTTTTGGCAGTCCATAATTTTAATATCCTCCCCCCAATACCACAATGTAAATGCATCAATTCTTCTACAGTCTTCCTTATTCACTGTTCAACTTTCACTTGTATATGAGGCTATTGAAAATACCATGGCTTGGGTCAGGTGCATGTTAGTCCTCAAACTGACATCTTTGCTGTTGAATAGTTACTTGTAAAGAGGTCTTGTGCAGCAGATTTGCCAAATCAATACGTCATTTGTTCTCCTTAAGTTAAGAACCTGTATTTCACACTTCTTAGGAAACTTTACTAATTTAATGGCCACAGGTGTCTCGAAGGCTACACATTGAATCCTTGCCTGCTTTCTCAAGTATTGCTTCCTTTACCATGTTGGGAAGAGGTTGGTAGAGTAGATATAATAAGGTTTTTGATTCCTACCTTCAACATTTGCTTACTTTTTGACTATATATAAAAAAAAATACACATGCATTTTTCTAGTCTAAGTTTCCTCATCTGCAAAATAGGCTCCTAGCAAACACTCTGTGAACAGTACTATTGCCATCATCATGGTTATCATTCCCCATTGTGACCTCTACTCCAACTTAAATAGAAATCTGGCACTTGCTTCTACTCCTCCTTTCTTACTAACCCCCGTGCCCTTGAATAGGTTCATTCAATTCAATATCTTAAATTACTCTCAGGCCCACAGCATTTCTCTATCCTATCTGCCACTCCTTCAGATCCACCTAGTATTAGTTATAGCTATACCAATACACACACTTCCACTTAACAAGTCTTTCTACTTTTACTTTTTTAGTCACCGTACACATTCCCTTCTCCTCTTACCTTCACCTTTTCTCCTCTGAATTCACCTCACCCAACATAGCTCTTAGCTACTCTGTCTTCAATGTTAAGCTAAATGTACACCGTCACAGTGAAGTCTCTTTTGACTACTCTCTTCTATAGTACCAGATGCCCCTACAGTAACTCACACATCTGTGGGGTCTTTGACATATTGTATTGTGAGCATTTACTCCCAAGCCAGTCCAGTGGGTTGTTGTTGTTCTGTGAGGTTAGTGATCCTATGCACAACAGAATGAAACACCAGTCAATCCTGCACACAATTGTTATTATGCTTACGCCCACTGCTGCTGCCATTGTGTCAATCCTCATTTGGGGTCTTCCTCCTTTTTGCTGACCTTCCACTTTACCTAGCATGATGTCCTTCTCCAGAGATGGGTCCCTCCTAATAAAATGTCTGAAGTATCCTCATGATCCTTACTTCCAAGGAACATTCTGGCTGTACATCATCCAAAGACTTGTTTGTTCTTCTGGCTGCCCACGGTGCTTTCAATATTCTTCTCCAACACCATAACTCAAATGCATCAATTCTTCTACAGTCTTCCTTATTCATTGTCAAACTTTCACATGCAAATTAGGCCATTGAAAACACAATGGTTGGGTCAGGCATACCTTAGTCCTCAAACTGATGCCTTTGTCTCAAACACTTTAAAGAGGTTTTGTGCAGCAGATATGCCTAATGCAATACATCCTTTGATTTCTTGACTACTGCTCCTATGAGTTGATTGTGGATCCAAGTAAATGAAATATTTAAAAACATCAATCTTTTCTCCATGTATCATGATGTTACTTACTGGTCCAGTGGTGAGGACTTTTGTTTACATTGAGGTACAATACATAATGAAGGCTGTAATGTTTGATCTTCATCAGCATTTTAAGTCTTCTTCACTTCCAGCAAGCAAAGTGCATATTGCAGGTTGTTAATGAGTCTGCCACCAATCCTGATGCCAAATACTTCTTCATATAATCCAGTTTCTTGGATTGTTTTCCTGTGTGTACAGAATGAATAAGTATGGTGAAAGGATACAACTCTGGTGCACACCTCTTCTGATTTTGAACCATTCAGCTTCTCCTTGTTCTGTTTAAGTAACTGCCTCTTGGTCTATGTACAGGTTCCTCATAAGCACAATGAAACGTTCTAAAGTG